TTTTGGATGTGTGCAGACCTTCTCTTTTGCGCGTGCAATGTTTCACTAGCTTGCACACCTGATGCCCCCCTCAGTGCTCGCTAAACCCAGCGTTACAATGTGCCATAATTCCAGCCAATCAGAGACCGAGGCTGCTAAATTCAACCAATCACTACATTTCCTGCATTACCTCGACAGCAGAAGAGGAAAAATACAGTGCATGCATAATTATTATGCAAGTTGATATTCTGATTATATTTATACTAAAAGTATATTTATATTATATTAAAAGAGAAGGTCTGCACACATCCAAAAACCTATTTTAAATGCAAAATTGATTTCCGTGCGCTCGACTTTTTTCTTTGAGAAACGAACATTTTCTCCACAAAACTCAGATCGCGCGCGTGCAAAATGCACTTTTGTGCGCTCAAAATATGATCTTTCGCGCGCAGAATTGTGGCAGAAATGTAAGCCCATAGTCAGATTGGATCTAGCGTTGCTTTTTCACGTCCTCACGCAACGTAAAACGTAAACACGTCAGACGTTTTTTGCAGAAAACATGCCAGAAACAAGCTTGTGTCGTTGCGAAGTGCAAGGCAAGCGGAAAAACACAATATCCTGCTAGTATACGCACCTCTGAGTTTTGAAAGTAGCGGAGACGGCAGCACGGAATAAAGCCGCACATTCCAGCTTCCTGCGTTTCTGCCGCTGCCTCACAAGACGAAATATAATACAGCAACATGTTGTTATGTCGTAAGACAACATCTGTATTGCAAACTGTATTGTTGTTTTTAGCGTAGGCATAACAACGCAACGGCATAGAAACCAATGCACATTCCGTAAAAATGAAAGAGCGCTTATGGACACACAAATCGGATATTATGAACAGTTGCAATACGCTGTGTGGACAGTCAGTTATTCAAGTCAGATTCCATCCAGATATGCACAAAATCGGATTTGGGCTGACAGTCTGAACGAGGCTTAAGTACGTACGTCCTGGAAGCACTTCTGGGGTGCAAAAAAACAATTTTTAAATCAAATTTTAAACTGCTCTGTCAGTAACAATCAGATTTTTTTTAACAGAGATTACTGGAGGCCACATTCCTTTCTGCACAAGCAAAGTGTTTTACCGCTCACAGATGAAGGGAAAAGCAAACACTCCTGTCAGAAACCTGCTGAAGCCCCAAAGACACCCATGATAACTGCCCACTTCAAACACAGCAGAAACATCACAGAGATGAGAACCAACAAAGACATCACCTTACATGTGCATTAAAGGTATTGCTTCATAATCACTTGGATTTTATGTCATTCAACCAATATTAAGAAGCACTTAGGTGGCACTAGAAAACCGATATAAAAAGAGCTAAAACATTGGAGAGTGAGCCTCAATCAAGACTGCATATTGTGAGAAACATAAGTATATTTAATTTAATAATCGCAGCAGTTCCTCACTTTTGCTGGGTTAAACTGAGACACAAGGTTGTGGGAAACCTTTCGGACAACGAGAGCCATCTCAGAAGGTTCTGTCCAGAGGATGTGAGCAGACATACGCCCTCTTAGCTAAGACCTCCTGGGCGATCTTCTTTATGTTGGCATCGTTGTTCTCTGGGGAATCTGGAGAGAACACAAACCCCAATCCGTTCAGTGAACGCTCTGATCTAATGCATTGCATTGACTGGAGTTATTAGGCGGTTGGTAATTGGAACAGTATGAAGAGCGCATTCAAGTGTTAGCGACTGACTTATGGTTTGTAAGGTTGTGGAGGAAATTCTACAACATGTGCAAGTGCTTTGTCTTGCTATGCAATAAAACGAGAAGGGCTGGTATTAATTATAGCTGTGCGTTTTACTCACTTTTTTGAAGCTGAGTCAACAAGAAGTTGTTCTTGAAATGAGCATCCTTGCAGAAAGTGTTGGTGAGCAGCACCTGAAACCCAGTGGAGATTTAACAAGGCTGTTTACATTAACGATTTTAAAATTAACGTGCAAGCAAATTTCCTTGATTATGAGGTTTTTGTTGGCTAAAATATTTTACACTCTTTGACCTAAGAGCAATTCAACAAAAGTAGAATAGACAGAAAAAAAATGACATGGAATTATGAAATGTATGTTTAAAAGCATGCAAAACCTTCTATAACTTTGTCGGATTAAGCCAATATGCAAGCAAGCAGCGCAGTCACAGCATGACAAGTCATTAAATTGTTTCCGTCAATTGTTTCTCTCATGCAAAATCAAAACAGCTCTGCTGCTATGAATTAAAATGCCTCCCGGGACCAATCCACTTCTGAGAAGAAATGCATTATTTGTCACACTGCAACATCCACAATCCTTTCAAGCTTAGTCCTTTAAACAGGTCAAGTAAATGAGCCGTTTCTTTTTTTTTCTGCCCTAATCTGTACTTGTTCAACACTGCATGCTTCGTTTAAATGCTTTGACTGAACACTGAACAAAAGGCTGAAGTCTTGAGGCAAGTCTCAAAACTGAGAATCGCTTTACAGGTCGAGGTAATGTGCTCCTTTAACATGGCTTGCTTTTAAACTGACTATGTGACCTCAGGGTTGAAGGTTTAAGAGTCTGTTACCTCATGGTCATGGTTTCGCAGGCCGATGCTGATGGAGCGACTGGTGCGGGACAGGACGGCTGTCATGGCGTAGAGGTTAATTAATACATCTGCAACTTTCTTCAGCACAAGCTGCTCCTCAACAATTGTCTGAAACAGATGAAGTCACAGATAAAACTGTAAGATGTAGAAGTGAAAATGCTTTGTATAAAAGAATCAATAAAGTTCATGCAAAAATTTCATAAAGTTTAGATTTTTTGTTTGCATTCTATGGACACTACCATTCAAAAGTTTGAATTTTCAGCATCATTACTCCAGTCTTCACTCTAAAATAATCCTTCAGAAATCATTCCAATATACTGATTTAGTGCTCAAGAAACATTTCTTATTATCAATGTTGAAAACAGCTGCGCTGCTTAATAATTATGTGGAAATTGTGGTATGTTTTCTTTGATGAATAGAAAGTTCAATAGAACAGCATTTATTTGAAATAGATTTTTAGTAACATTATAAATGTCTTTACGGTCACTTTTGATCAATATGAAAGACCCTTGCTGAATAAAAAAGTATTAATTTCTTTAAAAAAAATCTTACTGACCCCAAACTTTTGAACCGTACTGGAGTATGTTAAAAAATTTGCATTGTAGATAAATGTCTTTTTTGATTTATTTACAAAAACTAACACTTCAATTAAAACAAAATCAGGTTAGATTTGTTTAAAATGTTTTGGTCACAACATAATTCAGTTGGTTTCATTGGTGTTATTTTATAGTTTTGATGATATGAAACCATTTAAAATTTTTTACTGATAATTATGTAAGCACAGATTTGTCTGTATCTAGAATTAAACACTCTGTCTCTATATTATATTTCAAGATGTTTCAGTTGATCTAGGTCACTCAAAGTAGGACAAATCAAGGCAGTCCTAACAGTAATACCCATAAAAAGACAAACACATCCTGTGCCTGCCTCTCCACAGTTTGCATTTCACACAGCATGAAGGCAAAATCACTGCAGCAGCGGGATTTATTCCTTTAAACGTTTCCTACAGATGAGAATGAATGAAGATTAAAACAGCGCGCTCCAACAGGAAAAACAGTGTGTGGATATCTGAAGCACTTCCAGGCTGCTCTCTTGTGACTGCAGTCTGATTACAATAGCACGGCCACACAGACGTCCATTCAGAAAAGAGAGAGTGAGGCCAGCTGTGTCACACATGAACATTACCTCAACCCAACAGGAAAGAAGGGACCAGAGACGAGGTCCCAGCAGCGCTAACAACCCACGCTAATCACCTTGTGCGTTACAAAAAAAAACCACGCCTGTATGTTAAACCAATGGTAATTTTTCATTTTCTGGCAGCATCCAAGGAATGTGCACAAACTCGGATTAAAAACTGATGGTGAGGAAAATGAGATTGATGGGAATAGTGACTATGAGGCTTAGTTTACGATAAATATCTGTTTTTATGTATAAAGAAAGAGATTTGCTTTGGCAAGACATTATCTATCATCCAGTAAAAATAAATACATAAATAATCTGAGGGGGGGGGGGGGGCGGATCTGAAAAATTCTAATGATTTCATTTATTAAAAATGAAAACAGCTTTAAAAAGTTTCTAAATAATGCAATAAATAATAAATCAAACAGTTTTACCTTTCCATATCGGTACAGTAAGCTTTCCACAGTGGAGCCGAAGTGTGCAGCGTTCTGCTCAAACATTCTGGCGCTCTCCTGTGGGAGAAAGATGACATCATCACTCCTCTGAACACAAGCCGGGCTCAATTACCCGACCACACGGGTTTAAAGAGAGATCAGAAGGAAGGATTCCGCCTGATGAAATGTGACTGGCAGGAGAACTAGGCGAGATCAGATGTGAGGGTGACAGGACTTTTACTGGACATCCCTGCGCTGCTGTTATTACCATGACGTACATTCAGTTTATGACCACTGGTGTCATTTTACTCTATAATATGACAGCTATATAGAGCACAAGCAGCACTGGTTCTGTACCGTCAGACTGGGGTGCACAACGCCATCTTTGCCGGTCAGTCCAAAGTCCACCGTCCTCACCACTGAGTCCTTCAATTTCTTTCCCAGAATCTCAAACACCACCCCCACATTTCCCTTCTTCATCTCCCTGTGAGAAGACAATGTCATATGTCAAACCATGCAGTTATGTTACCTTTAAATATAAACTAATTATCAATGACATGTTTTTTATATTTCTCACATACTTTATTTTTCCTGTTAGTATTTTGCCAGCATACTGCATTCCGGTAAGTGCGATGTACATCCTCAAAATCTCATTAGTGCCCTAAAAGCAGGAAAGAAAAAAAGCACATTATATAATACATTCAATTGTTTTTGCATGTTCATTCTGGAGCCTTACATTTGTGACAACATGCCCCCTGGTGGTAAAAAAAATAAGAAAAAAATTGTGTGTGTGTATATATATATATATATATATATATATGGTCGCCATGATTTTGCCAAGTAAGACGTGTGTGGATCAACATTATTGTAGCACATTATATAATACATTCAATTGTTTTTGCATGTTCATTCTGGAGCCTTACATTTGTGACAACATGCCCCCTGGTGGTAAAAAAAAATAAGAAAAAAAATTGTGTGTGTGTGTGTGTGTGTGTATATATATATATATATGGTCGCCATGATTTTGCCAAGTAAGACGTGTGTGGATCAACATTATTGTCCAAAACACAGACCTAACCCTATTCTTACCCCTAAACCTACCCATAATTTATCCCTAAAATCAGAGGGAAATTATAGTTGAATAACAAGGGTGTAGAAGCACCTAAACTCTGGTTGTAAGGCTAAAACTGACATTGTAAACTTGTCCCTCAATTCTGAATGGTTGCTTGGAATGTTGTTCCAAGATCAACAATGATGTTGATCCAGGAACATTTTGCACTTGGTGAAATCACGATCACCATATATATATATATATATATTATTTATAATTTTTTTTATTCTGCAAGGACGCATAAAATTTATCAAAAATAACAGTAAGAGCCTTTAATAATGTGACAAAATATTTATATTTCAAATAAATGTTGTACAGTACACTTTTTAGCTTCCCATTCAAAGAATCCTGAAAAAATGAATCAAGATTTTGCACAAAAATATTAAGAATTGAACAACTGTTTTCAACTTTGATAAGAAATGTTGAGCAGCAAATAATCATATCAGAAAAAAATTCTAAAGGATCATGTGAAACTGAAATTTAAATGTTATTTTTTTAAATAAATGGAAAATAGTTATTTAAAATGTAAAATATTTCAGTAGCCCCTCACTGCAGAACACAAGATCCAGCGGGCGTGGTTGGATCCACATCTTGGTAGGTTTAGGGGTGGAGATGGGTGGGTATAGGGATCAGGGGGTGGAGAAAGGGAAGGTTTAGGTATATGTAAGGTGGGATCCAGCCATGTTCCCTGGATCTTGTGTTCTGCAGTGAGGACCATCTCAAATATTTCACAATATTATTTTTTATTTTTGGTGAGCATAATAGACTTTTTTCAATACAAAATACTGGACTCAAACTTCTGAATGGCGGTTTTGCTGATTTGACTAAAAAATGTAATCATGTTCTTCTGTACCTCAAATATCTGGAGGATGCGGCAATCCCTGAGATAGCGCTCATAGGGGTAGTTCTTGGTGAAGCCCAGCCCGCCTAAAACCTGCAGGGCTTCACTCACACAGATCCAGCTGCCCTCAGAGCTGAAGACCTGTATAACCACCACTAAGGGTCAATGCTCCAACATGTTGTTTTTCATTTATAATAAGTTCAAGTGATGATGATTTCAGGTTAGTTTACCTTGACCATAGCAGCCTCCAGAGAACAGTCTGGGACTCCAGGTCGGTCCATCATTCCAGCAGTGAGATAAGCCATGCTCTCCATCACAAACACATTCAGGGTCATGGTAGCAAACTTATCCTGTGCCAAAGAAAAATAAAACCACATGCTGACTTAGCAAACAGTAACAACAGAATCATTCAATATGATTAAACATAACTGTAACATACCTGAATCATTCCAAACTCAGAAAGGCTCCTGCTGAATTGTTTTCTTGTGCATGCATATTCTGATGTCAACTCTGGAATGATGTGGCATGTGAATTAATTTAAATTGAAGAGATGTATAGATTACATTTACATTGACATGGATGCGAGTAATAATGGTGAATTTTTAATATATCGTGTTCTCACCGATCAGCCTCTTGATCAGCCCTGCACCTGCACTGCCCATGCTGAAGCGCCCATTATTCAGAATGTTCATGGCGACCTAAAGATGATGCGTACATGTCACATGTCAATGCAACATCATGTCATCAAAGTGTTAAAAATGTGCAGTGAACAGAGTTTGTATCACCTTAAAACCACCACCAACTTCACCAATGACATTCTCAATTGGCACCTTGGTGTCTTCAAAGGTGATCTCACAGGCTATTGAAAGAAAGTACAAATATTCAATGAATGTGCATGCAAAAAAGTGTCCAAATACAAAACTTAAGTTTGAACAATAAATATATTGTTTTTAAATGGATTTATATAACCAACCATTTCTGTGATATCTTTTACTTAATAATGTGGATGTGTATGCAAAAAAACAACAACTTAATTTTGAACAATAAATACACTTAAAAAAAAAAAAAAAAAAAATATATATATATATATATATATAACCTACTATTTTTTAATGATATCTTTTACTTAAGTAATGCCTATTTGTTACATCTTTAAAATAAATGCCAATTGGTTATATATACAGTATATACTAACATTCAAAAGTTTGGGATCGGTAGGATTTTTTTGTGTTTTTTAAAATAACTTCACAATTTAAAATAACTTTTCTATTCTAATATATTTTAAAATGTCATTTATTATTCCTGTCATGTTAATGTTTTTTAATCCTTCAGAAATCATTCTAATAGGTAGATTTGGTGTTCAACAAACATTTCTTTTTCATTAAAAAACTGTTGAAAACAGTTGTGCGGTTTAAGAATTTTGTGGAAACCGTGATTTCAGGATTCTTTGATGAACAAGAAGTTCAAAAGAACAGCATTTATTTGAAACAGAAATCTTTTGGAGTCTAATAAAAAATTCATTTTAACTGTGACTTACAGTAAATGTCCATGTTTTTCTCCAGCTTTGAGGTGGATTGAAATTCAATCACAAATACAATTCAACATTAACTTCAAGCACAAAAGTAGATGAAGGTTTAAACTTACTGTTTGAGCCTCTGATACCCAGTTTGTCTTCAGGCTTGCCACTGGTGACGCCACCGAATGCCCTCTCTACAATGAAAGCTGTGATCTTATCTTTCCTTTGACCATCTTTGTCAACAACTTCAGTTCTGGCAAACACAGTCATGATGTCTGCCCAGCCACCATTGGAGATCCAAAACTTGAGAGCAAACATAAACTTTTAATCAACATCATCCAATAAAAAGACTTCACTATGTCAAACACAATGACCTGATTGAGGCAGTCACCTTTGTGCCATTGAGCAAGAAGTGCTTGGCATCTTCTGTCAGCGTGGCGCGTGTCTGTATAGATGCAGCATCACTGCCACTAACACGAGAGATGACATGGCATTTAAAAATAATAACCAAAGCAGATTTGAAAATGGAATGGTTTTTAATCTTAGGTTATATCTCGTACCTTCCAGGTTCAGTGAGGCAGAAAGCTGCAATATGCTCTCCTGTTGCTAGTTTGGGGAGGTATTTTGCTTTCTGATCGTCATTTCCAGCAATCAGTATACCCTAAAATGCAGAGATTGTTATGGAAATGGTCAATTAACATAGAACTGAAAGGAATGTACTCACCTGCAGGCTATCCAAAATGTATACAAGTTTGTTTCTTCCTCAGAATGAATTTGGAGAAATTCAGCATTACATCACTTGCTCACCAATGGATCCTCTACAGTGAATGGGTGCCGTTAGAATGTGAGTCCAAACAGCTGATAAAGACATTACAGTGATCCACAAGTAATCCACATGACTCCAGTCTATCAATTATTGTCTTGTGAAATGAAAATCTGCATGCTTGTAATGCAAATTTTTTCCTTAAGATATTTTATTTATTTCAGCTATAATAAGTTCTCTGTTCAAAATATTGCATGTCTTATATGAATCAGTAGAGAAATATACACAGATCAAGCATTGTTTACAAGCAAAACGGTCTAAAACAGTTTTAAACAAATATGTCAGTGGATTTTGGTATGAAAGGACAACAGAGAATGGGCTTTTTCACTGAATTATTATAGATTATTTTGGCCATAAGTGACGAATTGAAGTTAAATGCCTTAATGATGCATTTGTTTCTTACAAACACACAGCTTTTCACTTCACAAGACGTTAACTGACGGACTGGAGTTGTGTTGATTACTGGATTATTGTGTGGTTTTTATCAGTTGTTTGAACTCTCATTCTGATGGCACCCATTCACTGTAGAGGATCCATTAGTGAGCAAGTGATGTAATGCTGAATTTCTCCAAATCTGTTGTGATGAAGGAACAAACTCATCTACATTTTTGATGGCTTGATGGGGAGTACATTTTCAGCAAATTAAAATTTTTGGGTGAACTGTTGCTTTACTACAGGATGCACAGTGCAACACAGACAGTCATTTGCTCACCTTCAGACCAATGGCTTGATGTGCTGCCAGTGTGACTGCAATAGCCCCATCTAAAGACGTGATCTCTCCTAACCTGGCATACATGGTGTTTGAGAGGCCCAGACCGCCTGGAGGAAACAGGCAAACAAGAAGATGAAATTGTCTGATGGTATATTAGAAATTGTATGAAGTCAGTCTCACCATATTCTTCAGGTATCTGGATCCCAAACAGCCCGAGTTCCTTCAGCCCATTTAAAGTCTCAGGAGGAATTACAGCCTCATGGTCAATCTTCATGGAATCAACTATGGTGATATTTGCACAAGTACAGAAAAAAAAGACATTTCTCAGTCATTTTTATAAATAACATAAGAAAATGCAAAAGCTGATATCAGTTAATAACACACACACACACACACACACACACACACACACACACACACACACATATATATATACATATATATATATATAT